AAATTACTCTCAGGAAGTGAAAGATCTGTATTCAAAATGGCTGCAGAATATAATCAAAAAGCATTTAGTATTTTTAAAACCAGTATATATTTTGTATTTGGGCAACTTTTAAGTATAGAAAGAAGTTGAGCAGAAAGCACAGAATTCCCACATGGCCTCTGCCTCTCACCCAGCCTCCCCTTTATCACTGTCGTGCTCTAGTGTGACACACTTGCTACAGTTAATGAGCCAATTAAAACGTATTTTCAATGTCAAAATTACAGCAGTCAAAGAATCAGGAAAAGTGCGGACAACATCCAGGGAAGAAGTATGCAATAAAAACTACCTCTGAGTGGACCCAGACATTAGATTGAGCAGACAAAAACAAAATTAATTGAAACCACATTTAGGGATAAAGGAGTGACTATTCCCCTTCTGGGTACTTTCCCAAAAGAACGAAAACATCATACCACGGTGATATAGGTGCATACATGTTTATAGCAGCACAAGTGGTCATGGCCAATTCTTGGAAACAACCAAAATGCCTATCGCTTGAGGAATGGATGAAAAAGATGTGGTACTTCTACACAATGGAGTACTACTCAGCTATAAAGAAAGACAACCTCAAAGCCTTCATAGGTCAGTGGATGCAACTAGAGGCTGTACTCATAAGTGAAATAAATCAGACCCTCATGTGTAAATATTGTATTGTCTCCCTAGTGTAAGAACCTCAAAGAATAAATAAAACCTGAAAAGTATAATAGATATAGTAAAATGGAAAGAAACTAAACTTAAGGATTAAACAACAAAGAGGGGAGAAGGAGAGAAATAGGAAAAATGGTAGGGGGAAAAGTATGCAAGTATATATACAGGATGGCTGAGATGATTGTACTCATGATTTCCATCAGTTTTTTTACAATAGTAGTTATTGTTTAGAATTTTCACCTTGACGAACTCTGTATGCTGATATCTGTGATCTAAGCAACTACATTGAGGACAGCAGTGTATAATACAAAACCCATGGTGGAATACCTCTTCTCTTGTTCTTCTAGATGTGTACTGTTTCTAATGTCTTGTCAATTATTATACTCTCTTTAA